GAGCCAGGACAGGGGTCTGCAGGGGAGAGCAGGCTGGAGCAAGCTGTGGGTGGAGACAACAGAGCCCTGCCCAGCTCCCCTCAGGCAGAGTCCGAGACCCCAACCAGGCCTGGTCTCAGGCTCCTCTCCACCAAGCCTTGGGGCAGACAGAAGGGGGAATGGCCCACACCAAGGGAAGGAGTGGGGAGGAGGCGGTGTGGTGTGGATGAAGGTCCTGGTCTCTGAGTCAGGATGAGGTCAGGCCTCAAGGAGACAGGCCATTCTTAAGACGGCCACTTCCGCAGCACCTGGGCAGCTCAGCCGTTAGACGGCTGCCTGCGGCCAGGGTCACGATCTCGGGACCCTGGGATCGAGCCCCGCTTCCAGCTCCCTGGTCAGCAGGAAGCCTGCTTCCCCCTCCCCCACTCCCTGCTTGTGTTCCCTCTCTCCCTGTGTCTGTCAAATAAATAAATAACATCTTTAAAAAATAGGTAAGACGGCCACTTCCCGCACCAGACTGATATCCACACAGTCCTTGAGTCACTCAACCTGCAGACACCTGCGGCCCACATGACAGCCATGTGGGGCCACAGCCAGCAGCCCCTCCTTCTCTGCAGAAAAAGCAGCAGCCTCCGCAGAGATGGCTCCTCCCCCTGCCAGGCATGAGGGCAGCAGGTCTCCCTAGAGCAGTGGGTCACACGCTCTGCAGGAGCTCCTGCTGACTGCCAGGTCATGACCCCCCAGAACTCCTGCAGCGGAGCCTGCCTCAGTGTGCACGACTCCGCCTGTCACAACAGACCAGCCACCAGCCTGGCAACAGGACCACGGGCTTTGGCTGAGAGAGGGCCTCAGAGCCACATGGATGGCACCGGCCATCTGGCTGGCCGCTGCCCTGGGCTCTTTCTTGCCCATGTGCACAGGACCAGCTCCCACTGCTGCTCCCAGCCGCAACCCTTCAGTCTGGACTCCCAAACCCCCGAACCCGAGGAAGCCCAGTCTCGCCCCTCCCGTTCCGTGGTTGTCGGCCCAGAGACACAGATGCCACTGTCCTGTCAGTAAGGCCGTGTGGTGAGCTTCCCGCCCGGCAGGCATGGCCAGTGCACTGTGGCCAGCAGCTCCAGCGTTCTGGTTTCTGTGGTCAGCAGGGCTAATGGGCTCCTGTCCGTAGTGAGAGGAGGGGTCACAACAAACCCAGGGGCACCTGTCATCCCTCCCATGGCTGGAGACTGAACCAGTGCCAAGGGCAGTCCTTACACAGCCTGTCACGCTCGTTCCTCTGAAGAGGGTTTATGGGGCGCCTGGGTGGCTCTGTGGGTTAAGCCTCTGCCTTCAGCTCAGGTCATGATCTCCGGGTCCTGGGATCGAGCCCCACGTTGGGCTCTCTGCTCGGTGGGGAGCCTGCTTCCCCACCCCCCTGCCACCTCTCTGCCTACTTGAGTGCATGCTCTCTCTCCCGCTCTGTCAAATAAATAAATAAAATCTTTAAAATAAATAAATAAATAAAGAGGGGCACCTGGGTAGCTCAGTGGGTTAAAGCCTCTGCCTTCAGCTCAGGTCATGATCTCCGGCTCCTGGGATCGAGCCCCGAATTGGGCTCTCTGCTTGGCCGGGAGCCTGCTTCCCCTCTCTCTCTCTGCCTGCCTCTCTGCCTACTTGTGATATCTTTCTCTCTTTCTCTCTCTCTCTCTGTCAAATAAACAAATAAATAAATAAATCTTTTTAAAAAATTAAATAAAAAAAGAGGGGCGCCTGGGTGGCTCAGAGAGTTAAAACCTCTGCCTTCGGCTCAGGTCATGATCCCAGGGTCCTGGGATCAAGCCCCGCATCGGGCTCTCTCCTTGGCCAGGAGCCTGCTTCTCTCTCTCTCTCTGCCTGGCTCTCCGCCTACTTGTAATCTCTCTTTCTGTCGAATAAATAAATAAAATCTTAAAAAAAAAATTAGGGCGCCTCGGTGGCTCAGTTGGTTGAGCGACTGCCTTTAGCTCAGGTCACGGTCCCAGAGTCCCGGGATCCAGTCCCGCATCGGGGTCCCAGCTCCATGGGGAGTCTGCTTCTCCCTCTGACCTTCTCGCCTCTCATGCTCTTTCTCACTGTCTCTGCCTCAAATAAATAAATGAAATCTCAAAAAAAAAAAAATTAAATAGTGTTTCTAAATAGTTCCCTTGAGTTCCTGAATTCTAGAATTTTCTACTGACATCCTGGCACAGTACCTGAGGATTGTAGCATATCCTTCCCCACTCTGCCTGTGCCAACCTTCCGGACTGGTTACGTCTAGTCTCTGGGAACAGGAACGCTCAACGGCTCTCACGATCATGACTACACGGCACTTAACTGCCAGCCGACCGGGATTCTAGAAGCACATTTTCCGTGTGCTTCAGCTGCTCACTTTCCCGGCAACGGTGACTGCCAGGTGTCCTGGGCCTGGCCTCTACGCACCCGTTGCCTTCCTAGCCCTAAACGGTCAGGCCGAGCAGCGAAGGCTTCTCTGATGACCCCTGAGTTCTGGGGCCCTCCAGCTTCCGTCCCCATCGACCCAGAAGCCTACACCCGGCCAGTCAGTTACGTCAGCACGAAGGTGAATTAAAGCTGCCGGCCACTGAGGCCGCCCCCATGTCTGCGGGAGCCCACCACCCCCCGCTCCGGGGATGGAGCTCAAACAGACACCCGCGGTGGGGCCAGAGGGCGCACCGTCAGGCTCGCACACCGCACCCCCAACCAATGTCAGGGAACACAGAGACCTCACTCTCTATCACACACAAGTAGGTGTGAAATTAATGAGAAAATCCGAAAAGACAATCAGAAGTTGAAAGAACTTTTAAATAATTGATTAGTCAGAAATCATAGTGGATTTTAAAACTAAGAGAAAAAAGCATATACGGTGAGTTTCCCACAAGTTAACTGATGGAATTTTTGGAGAACAAAGCCATCCCAAGGGCCCCGGGGGCCGCTGCAGTGGCCCAAGGAGGTCCTGAGGCGCATGGCTGGGCACAGGAATGTGGTCCATTTAGGAAGCCACCAAGGACACCAGCGGTTGAGCAGAGGCCAAAGTTTCCAGGAAGTCACCACTAAAATCTTTGTGCAAAAGCATGAAGGCTTGAACAACGTCATGTCTAACTGCACACCTGACCTCAGACGGTCACCCAACAGTTACCACATACTGCCTACATGGGTACAGACACAGGCATGTGACGCTAAGCCCCAAGGACTCTCTTCCTCATCCCCGTGCCCACACAGCATCACCCCCACCGCCCATCCCCTGCCAGGACCACTGCCCAGAGGGTCTCCTGCCCCACCCGCCCTCCATGTCTCCCCACCAGGCCCCATCTGCCACCCTCACCCCAGGCCCAGGGCCCGCAGCCTCTCCAACCGCAATCTCAGTCATGCTCATCTCACAGGCCTCAGGGCAGCTCCACCACTTGGCCCAGACCACACTCCAGCCAGCCTTCCCCGGCTGCTCTCCAGCTGTCCTCCCAGAGGGCTCCCGCCAGGAGCCAGCCTGCATAGCTCTGTGCCGCGGCCCCCACCTGCCACACCCACAGCCCCCTCCCTTGGGACCCCTCCTCTCATTACTAGGTGTGCTCTGGACCCAAAGGCCCACAGGGTTCCTGGGCAATGGTGGCACTCATGTGCGTGGACTGACTGGGTAAAAGGACAAAGGGTAAATACAGGTCACGATACACAGAGGTATCTCGGAGCCACCCGGCCTCAGTGTTTTAGGAAACCCAGCCCCTCTGGGACACTACTGGGCAATACGGTGGACAGACAGGGGACAGACCATAGACGCAACTCTATCAACAACCGCGGATCAGACTTCAGGTCCAAGGGCATCCTCTGAGCCAACCACAGCGGGTCCTGCTCAGGTCTGCTCCTCCTCCTCTCACAAGTGCAGGAGGAAGGGAAGAGCCTGCCACCAGAGCCTTTCTGCCACCATCACCCCAACACACCAGGCTGAAGCCGGGCCACGAGAAAAGGAGGGCTCTCCAGGGCTCCGGAATTCGAAGCGAAAATGGGCGGCATGTGGGCAACTTGAGAGTGTAAGAAACTAAGCTTACACCCCCAGAACCAGACATCGCACCCTGTGGACAGGCCCCAAAGCCATGAAAACACGTGCCCACACAGAGACATCACAGACGTCCAGAGGGGCTGTACTCATCACAGCCCTAAGCCGGAAACACACGGCCCAAACGCGAGTGTCCGCCCCGGGCTACAGAGCTACATGTGGGAAACCAGCTGCAGCGGCGCCGTCCTGCCATCGAAAAGCAGACCCTGGTCCGTGCCGCGCGGACGAAGCTCGGAGACACCACACGCGGGCCGCGGCCGCACGGAAGAGCGCGCCCGACAGTTCCCCCGGTGGGAGCCAAGCCCGAGGGGCAAAAGCGCCTCCGGGGGACGAACGCCAGCCCAGGGTGGAGCGAGGAGTGGGGCCGCTGCAGGCCGAGGGACCGGTCCACGGGACGGTAACACCGGCCGGGGTTTCCGTTACTGGTCATGAAGAACGGCCAAAATTCAGAGTGACAAGATTGACTGAACATCCGTGCGCTTACCGTAGGCAGTTTTCTCTCAAAGTAAGGCCGCAAACAAGCACTGAACTCGAGGTAGCCACGGCCACACAGGCCGAGGCAGTCGGGGTGGCACGCAGCCCATGGGGCGGGAGGCCAGGCGGAGCACGGCCAGACCCGCAACCATGTAGGGGAAGCGGCGCGCGGTCCGCGGGCGCAGCAGCTCGCACGCACGCGGTGCTGCCGCGGGGCCCTTGCGGTCCTCCTGCGCGCCTGCGGGAAGGGCCCTCGCCTTCGGACACTGTGGCCAGGAGGCGGAGTCTGCTCTGGAAGACGGCGGGTGTGAGGAGCGAAGGACGACGAGAAGGCCCGAAACCCAGGGTCTTACAGGGGCTTGGAGGGGAAAGGAAGACGTTACGTGCAGCCGAAAGGGCATTCCTGAGGGTGGGTGAGGGCACAGCCAAGGCAAGGGCTGGGGCAGAGGACGCGAGGAGCGGGAAACACGCGGTGGGGGAGACTGACCTCCGTTCCTGATCGCGGTGATCCCTCGACAGAAGTCCTCAAAACTGATCACGCCAAGCCCACCGGGGTCCAGGTATTTCGTTAAGTCCTTCACCTGGAATTGTCAAGAAAGACGATGTTATCGAGCCTTACAAATCAGAGGACGGGTGCGCTCTGCCCTCGACCCTCTCCCCACGCCCAGATGGGCAGCCTGCTTGCAAGGTACAGTGCTGAATGCAAGAGTGACCAGAAGCTCCGGCCAACGACGGGAGGCCTCACAGGGGAGACCGGCCAACAGCACCCAGGACCGCCAGCGATGGAAATAAGCTCCTGCGTAGTCAACAGCCGTGCTGTCCAGGGAGAAGATCGGAAGTCCTGAAGGCTTAGGTATCAGTCGAGCCGTTGAGACTGTTACTAACGTGGCAGAGACCCTCCCATCCACTCCCAGAGGCCTTGCAGGCTGTGCAGAACCCTTCGTAAAAACGGGCAAGGAGACCCCAAATACCAAAAATCACATAAGTAAGATGAGTCACACTTGGAATTTACAGAGAATGAAATTCTTCAGAAAGAAAACACATTTATATTTTTTCTTTCTTTTTTTTTGAAGATTTTATTTATTTGACAGAGACACAGAGAGAGAGGGAACACAAGCAGCGGGAGTGGGAGGGGGACGAGCAGGCGTCCTGCTGTGCGGGGAGCCCGATGCGGAGCTCGATGCGGAGCTCCGTCCCAGGACTCGAGGGTCATGACCTGAGCCGAAGGCAGACGCTTAACACTGAGCCACCCAGGCACACCTACATTTTCAAGTATAAAGTGGGTTTCATCAAAATTTAAAACATTTGCGTTTCAAAAGACACCATTAGTCAAGGGCGCCTGCGTGGCTCAGTCAGTGAAGCGTCTGCCTTCAGCTCAGGTCATGATCCTAGGGTCCTGGGATCGAGTCCCATATGCGGGGGAGGGTCCCCTGTTCAGCAGGGAGTCTGCTTCTCCCTCTTTCTCTGTGATCTCTCTTATTCTCACTCTTTAATAAATAAATAAAATCTTAAAAAAAAAAGTCACTATTAGTAAAACTGAAAGTCAAGACACAGACTGGAAAAAGATATTTGCAAATAACATATCTGATAAAGGACTTGTACCCAGAATGTGTAAACAACACTTACAGTGTAGTAACACGAACTACCATTCTTCTTTAATGGGCAAGACATGGAAAGAGACATTCTACCAAATAAGGCAGACACAGGTAAGCACATGAAAAGATGCTCAAGATCGTGAGTCGTTAGTGAAATGCAAATTAAAACCACAGTGATATCACGCACTATGAACAGCTGTATTCACAACAACCCACAATTCGGGCACCCGGGTGGCTCAGTCGGGGTCTGCCTTCCACTCAGGTCACGATCCCGGGGTCCTAAGATGGGCCCCATGTCACGCTCGCTGCTCAGCGGGGAGCCCGCTTCCCCCTCAGCCTTCCCCCAGGCTCATGCTCTCTCACTTCTCTCAAAAAATAAATAAAATCTTTGGGGCGCCTGGGTGGCTCCGTGGTTTAAGTCTCTGCCTTCAGCTCAGGTCATGATCTCAGGGTCCTGGGAGGGAGCCCCACATCGGGCTCTCTGCTCCGCGGGGAGCCTCCTTCCCTGTCTCTCTGCCTGCCTCTCTGCGTACTTGTGATCTCTGTCAAATAAATAAATAAAATCTTAAAAAAAAAAGGATTTTATTTATTTATTTATTTGACAGACAGAGATCACAAGCAGGCAGAGAGAGAGAGAGAGAGAGGAGGAAGCAGGCCCCCCGCTGAGCAGAGAGCCCGATGTGGGGCTCCCTCCCAGGACCCTGAGATCATGACCCGACCTGAAGGCAGAGGCTTAACCCACGGAGCCACCCAGGCGCCCCAAATAAATAAAATCTTTAAAAAAATATTTTTCAAAAAAATAAATGAACAAAGAGATAAAAAGGACTGAGGAGAAAGTGACAAGGACTGAAAACAAAGGCAAGCTGATGTAAGAGTAACAGAAGCCCCAGAGAAGAAAAGTCAAAGCAAGGGTCCAGAACAAATCTTAAAACTCTACATCAGGAAACCTCCCTAAGATAGAATCTTCAGCGCGTGCTGAACTACCACCTCAGGTACCAAGAGCTCAGGACCCCAGAAGACCCTATTCCAGGACTTACTCTGGTGAATTTCCCGGACATTAAAGGGAAAAACCAAACAGCTTCGCAAACTTCGACTGACTTTACAGAAGAAAATCTGATTATCATTAAACTGTTGAGCAGCAACACCCAGTGACAGGGAATGTTCCAATCCCATGATCTGGGGTGTTGCTCAGGACAGGCGCCTTCATGCCACTGAAAGAGAGAAGAAAGACACAGGCTGAAGGCCCGAAGCGAACACCTGTGATCCCAAATGTGACCGGAAGAGTCACGATGAAGTATCGCTCGTGGAGTATTAAAGAAAACAAAGACCTTCTAACTCTGCCCAACCCCGACAGTAAGCACCCTGGCACCCAGGCTGATATGTAAGCCCCACTTCCCACGAAGAGGAACCGGGAGCCTTGGAGGCTGGCCAGGAAGCGGACACATGGAGCCCAGACTCCCCGTCACACCTGAAAACAAAGAAGCTGTCCAAGTCCCCTTAAGTCACAGCCACTGACTCAGGAGCCAGCCCTCAGCCTTCACAGCCAGGAGGGAAGCACGAGCACGATGAGAAGGGCAACTCAGGGGACGGGGACCCCCAAGTGCGCTGTAACCCGCGAAGGCGCACTAGGGGAAAAGCAAAGGAACGGGCGTCACTGGAGGACACCAGTGCAAGTGAGAAACAAAGGGAAAGAATCAAGCGGTTCGCCTGCGTCTCCTCTACAAACTGTTTAACTCCGTTTCTCTCTATACAGCACGTCAGCGGGGTGCCTCGGCGGCTCAGTCGTTGGGCGTCTGCCTTCGGCTCAGGTCGTGGTCCCGGGGTCCTGGGTCGAGCCCCGCATCGGCCTCCCTGCCCTCTGCCCCTGCTTGTGTTCCCTCTCTCACTGTGTCTCTGTCAAATAAATACGTAACGTCTTAAAGGAAGAAAACCAGAGCATCTCCGCGAATAAACAGGGGAGAGACAAAGGACCAAAACGCCACCCCTGCAATGCTCAACGCAGTAGTGCGCAGAACCAGGGACACTCCGCGCCGCCTAAAACCACGTGGACATGGGGCGCCTGGATGGCTCAGTGGGTGAAGCCTCTGCCTTCGGCTCAGGTCATGATCTCAGGGTCCTGGGATCGAGCCCCGCATCGGGCTCTCTGCTCCGCGGGGAGCCTGATTCCCTCTCTCTGCCTGCCTCTCTGCCTGCTTGTGATCTCTCTCTCTCTCTCTGTCAAATAAATGAATAAAATCTTTTAAAACCACGTGGACAGACCACGCGACGCCACGTATCTCCTGATGAAAGCAGCACCACCGCCTAAATCCAGCCTGCACCTAACTACCAATGTGCAGAAATACGGAGATTAGAGTGACACGTTTTGACGGCATCACGTGGCTGTAACCAGCAAGCCCACTCCGTGAGGACCCTGACAGAGAAGCGAGCTGCTGTTTCCAAGGGAAAAAAGATGTAGAGGAAGCCCTCCCTGTGAGACTTGGAAGACGTACCAATCTGGGACCATGTAAGGGGTTTTAGGATCCTGATTCAAATAAACTGTTGTTTTAAATCCTATTTACAAAATAATTAGAAATGTGAATACTGATCCTAGATACTGAATACTATATGATACTAAGACAACTTTTACAGGTGTGATAATGGTATTTTAGAAATTTTTTCATATACTCACTGAAGTATGTGGAGATACTTCGAACGCTGGGGACTAAGGGACATCCACGGCTACACACATGTGGCTGACTGGCCATGACTGACCGTTGCTGAGGCGGGGCGGGGTACGGGGGAGACATCGCACCACTCTATCTACTTTCGTACAGGCTTGGACTTTTCCATAATGAAAATCTTAAAGAGAGAGAAGACAAAAGAGCAAAGCAAGCAAGCAAGAGAGGACCATGCCGGAGGGGCGGCGAGGAAAAGGGGTAAGGCACTTGGCCTGAAGACAGCTCACCTCTGACCGCAGAAGGAGGCCAGAACCATCCAGGAAAGCCAGAGGACAGGAGGGGGAGGCCATGCAAATACTTGGGGATGAGGTGTAGATAAGGTATTTTAAAGGCAGAGAACCGGGGCTCAGGCTACAGTGCGCACGAGCCCCTGGCCGAGCTGGCCAAATCCGTAAATCCACACCACCCACCGCGTCTGTCAGGGCATCCTCTGCAGTGGGCAGGCGGGCAGGCTGCCACGTCCAGCCCTCGCACCACTATTTGGGTAACATAAAGCCAGACTGGAATAGGACCAGCTCGAGCTGACTGACCCTAACAGTCCAGGGCCCTCAAGCCACAGACTGCGTCTCCCTCTTCTCCGTCCACTATGTGGAGAAGATGGTGGCCACTGTCCTTCCATCCCAGGGCCCTACATGCTGCTGAGATACGGGGCCTGGGCGTCCATTCATCCGCTGACTTCTTGAGACAACTGACTTGGAATCATTGATAAAATGCCTCCTTCCATATCTCACAAAAACTCTCCTTCCTAAAGCACACGATCTCTAGTGAGAGGCTCACTGGAAACCTAAACGGCCACCTAACCTGGAATCCCCACGGGCCACTCTGTCCTGAAGATGCCTGAGAATTCTGGGGCACCTGTCTGGCTCCCACAGCAGAGCATGTGACTCTTGATCTCAGAGTCACAAGTTTAAGCCCTACAGTGGGCATAAGTTTTACTTCACAAAAAAAAAGAAAAAAAAGAAAAGAAAGATTTCTAAGAATTTCAACAATGAAGCTACTGATTGAACACAAAGTACCAAGTTGTCCATTCTGAAACATTAACCCAAAGCTTTTTAAACAAATCATTAACTAGTAGGCCTTTATGCAAGTTACCATGTTAGAAGATGAATCAAAGTACATACATTTTTTTTAAGTGCACTTTAACTATACCTTCTTTTTTTTTTTAATTTTTTAAAAGATTTATTTATTGGGGCACCTGGGTGGCTCAGTGGGTTAAGCCTCTGCCTTTGGCTCAGGTCATG